GGTCCCTGCTACCCACCAAGGAGACCCAGACTATCGGGTTTGACCTAGTCCAGCTCCAGTGGCAATTTGAGAAGAAAACCAGCAGATGGAAGACCTCTCATTCTCTTTTGTTCCCTTTCTTCCCTTCCTTTCAAAGAAATAAAAATTTTCAACAAGGAAAGTAGATGATCTGAAGGAATGAGCATTTACATAAAAGGCTGAAGATGTACTAGAAAGAGTCCCTAGAGTTCACGAATTACTGGAATAGCCCCTCATGACAAGCAACAGACTGAGGGCCAGAGAGAGACTTTGCCTAAAGATCTACTTTACTAATGACAGGAAAGTGATCCTTCTCACATGGAAAGTAAAGAAGAAAAAAATTTTTTTAATTCAGTGTTACAGTCCATTTTCCAACATCTACCTTCCAAATTGATGGAATCCTGAGCTAACCCTCCAAAGTAACAGCTCCTGTACCACAAATTAGAATCTGGGATTGAAAGGTTTTTCAGCTCTATCGAGCATGAAAATGGTGGAGAGATGAACGGCAGAGCCAGTCAATCATGAAAAGACCACACCCTTCATCTGACCAATAGACTTTCCCAAAGGAGACCACCTTTGTACTTTGTTTTGTTTTGTTTTTCTTTGGAGGCAAAAGAATGAGGTGGGGGGGTGGGGGGGGAAGCACATACTGAGTTAGGGAAGAAGCAAATCATCAAACTGAGTCCTATCTTTGTAAGATCACAGAAAGCCTCAAATCTATCTTTGAAGATCAGAGCAGCTCTGGCCATCAAAGGCCCAACCCCGATAGTACTGATACACAAATCTTCTCCCTCCTAGGCCCCTAAGTATACAAATTCCAGTGGGTGGGGGAACTCTGAAGAAGATACAAAGGGACTTAAGACAGACTGTTGCCAAGCAACACCATTAGAACCAATTCAGAATAATTGTAGCTGTCATATCATCTCAACCCTAAAGAATTATGTTTAGAAGAGTGGTGCTGGTGTTTGTGTCTGTGTCTGTGTCTGTGTGTGTGTGTGTGTCTCAGAGGGGGTAGACAAGATGACCTCTAAATGTCCTTTCCAGCTCCACCATACGTAGTAAAGAAATCACATGAAAAGAGAAGGCAAGAGAAAAGTGACACTACCACTTTCAAAGAAGCTACTGTTACAGGCAACTAAAGAGTAATGCAAAGTTAACAGATTCATGGTCAATACCACATCTATCATTCATTCACAGAGCAACCAAGCCTAAGACAGGGCATATTAATTGCTTTTGAGGGTCCCACAAAGGCCTGCTTGCCCTACCAGCCTCTCCCTGACCACAGCATTGTTCAAAATCAATCCTCAAGGAAATCCCCAAGATGGTTCCTGTTCTACCTCTATCATCTACACTTTGAAAAAGGACTGAGTGAACTACAGAGCCAAAGAAGTGGATATGGGAAACTCTCCCACAGAGCCTCCAAACTTGAGCCTTTACCTCACCCTGAGCTCTACAGGGTAAAGCTAGCTCAAGGGTTAAAAAACTGAGATTCTGTCTCCTATTCACCAAGTACCACTTTTGTGCCACTCGAGTGGCTCAAGCAATGTTAGGAATGGCAGGACAATAAACAGTGCACAGAGACCCTGTTAAAGTTTAGCTGAAGGCATACCCAGAAGCCCTCAAATATCACAAGAGCTGGACTCTATGTCTGGTCACATGGATGGTTCCATGAAACGACCACTTGATCTCCTTTGCCTAGATCTGTTGATCTAGGGCTAAAAGCCCAGCAAATCAATGAGCTTTTACCAAGATTGACCCTTTAATATCTACTGATATGTCACACCTCTCTAGGTTAGTCCCTTCCTATCATGGGTCTCAGTCTCTACTTATAGAGTGAGAAAGATGAAATTTGATCATTACGAAAAAAACTTCTCAACTCCAGCATTTAATAACTCCTACAGGGATGAAATACAAAACTTAAGAGCACCTAGAAAACTCAAACTAATGTATATTTAGGGAATCTGGGAGAGTCTCAAAGGTGTTGTAATTAAAACTAAAACTAAGAGGATTATGACCGACATTTTAAAAATTTAATTGTCTCATCATCAACAAATATATAGATGGTAGTAAATAAGCTTCCACGTTCTGCCTGGCAAACCAAACTCAGAAAACTGGCAACCAGAAGCAGTGCAAGAATGACAAAAAGAAAAGGTGGGGGAGAGGAGGGTAAGACATGTTCTAACAGATTTAAGGGAAACTGTGCTGATGAGGCGAGACAATTGGCTATAAAAGCGAAACTGACCCTGCATACACTGGAGACACGGTTCACATGAATGAACGGGTTTGATTTTCCACTACCCTCCTCTGTCATACTCCAGAAATAGCCTAAAGTACAGCACTGAATAAAGAATGGGCAATAGGGAAAAAAGTTACTGGCCAGTATTCAGTGAATTAGGGTATGCCCCTAGACACATCAGCTTTAGGACAAAGAATAAGAAAAGCGGAGCATCTAGTAATACTCCTAGATCTTACCAAGAGACCACACAAACATCACAGTTGGTCCCTATGCCCAAATTACCTACTTCCCTTTTCTGGGGATCATGAAGTCCTGGGAATGAGTGCAATTTGCTTTGGGAAAGAGAATAAGCTCAAACCTCGAGAACTCAGGTTATCAGTGCAACAGGTATCAGAATATCTGAACTTGATTCTTGGCTCAGTCACTATGTGCCCTTAGGTAGGTCCTTTCTTATAGCTGTAAATAGTCACATTAGTGCTACATGGGGGATATACTAGAACAGTAGTCTCTGGGTACCTTTCAGAGTAAGATTCTATGGTCTTAACAGGAATGAAATAGTTCTTATAAAATTTGACCATTTCTTGAGTCTAACAGGATGGAAAATTCTCTAATGCTTCCACTGTATGAAAATTTAATCCCCTCCTTCCAATTCGGTTCAAGTTTCACTCAATTTGCATAAAGTCCCTTCAGTAGTCAGGTACTTCTTGTACCCCAAGACTGATCTCAAACAATTCATATTCTAATCTGTCTCCAAACCAAGGAAAAGATCACCAAATTTTCTGTGCAAATTTTGGCTGAGGTGAGATGGTTAAAGCAACTTCAACGCAATTTCTAGGCTTCTCAAGTTGTGTTAAAAGTCAGATTATCATGGCAGGCGTTGTAGCACAGCTGCCACTTGAGAGAACCACAGCAAAGTCCATAGCAAAGTGCCATTTCAAGTCCACTTTCAAGTCAACTTCCTACTGATGCACCTGGAAAGGCAGCAGAAAATGGTCCAAATACTTGTGTCCCTGCTACCAATGTGGGAGACCTGGATGGACTTCCAGGATCCTGGCTTTAGCTTGGCTTAGGCATGACTGGGCATTTGAGGAGTGAATTAGGAATAGAAAACTGATCTCTCTCTCTCTCTCTCTCTATATATATATATATATGTATATATATATATATATACTTTATATATATACTTGAAATAACTTTTAAAATTTTTAATATCTCAAAATTGAGGATGAGTTACTCCACGAGGAGGCTACAAAGCAGAGTATACTCCTAGAAACCTACTCCATAGTTTGGGCAAGATCACAACTTAAGTGGAGTCATCAGTCAACGACAGGGAGACAAACACCAAGAGAGCCTTTTAGAAGGATCTTTATAATCTGTGTTGGCAAAGACAGCGGGTTTTCCCCATTTTCCCTCACTTTGCTTGTAGAGGGTCGTTGGAAGACCTTGCAGAAAGGCCCTATGTTGTAAAACCATGGGCAGTTTAAAAAACAGAGCTAGTGGAAGTGCCAACTTGTTCAAAACTCGGTATTTCTGAAGGTCCAGGTTCTGGAAAGGCAAGAATGAATTGGCAGTGAGACTGGAACACAACATGGCAACCAAAGCTCCGACACACACCCAGAGACTTGTGCTCCAGGTTCTCCTCTCATCCCAGGGTCTCTCAGCCCTTCTCAAAGCTCCTTGTCCTTGTCCCAGCTTTCCAAGGCCCTGGCAGTTTCAGGCAGACAGGTCTGGAAGCCCCGCTAACCTAGGCAGCTCAATAGGTTGCTTGGCCTAAGAGACTCAAGCAAGCGAGGGTGGTCACCAGGCCTTCCTGAACAAGGGAAGGGCCCCAGCAGCCATTTGGCATGACTTGCACAAAAGCGAGCAGAGCTCATTAGTCAGGCACACTCCTCCTCCGCCCCTCCCTCCTGGGCATCCGGCCCCCCTAGGCCCCATTCCCATGAGACTTCTGCTCTTCTCACAACAGCCAGTGGGGTGGATCTCAGCCTCAACCACTGCTCTCCAGAGGTGCGGGGCCCCCACAGCAGAGAACTCACCACAGCATAGCCTGGAGAGGACAGAGAGGCATTAACGGCAAGGGCAGGGATCCCGTCCCCTCTCCCAGGAAGTGGCCTAGGCCTCTCTTCAGCGCGGTGCCTAGTAAAGTGTTGGAGTACCTTGGTAGAGAGGGTAGCAGCCTACATGATGAACCCTTCCACACCTCTGGTCTCACGTTCCTAGTGGGTAACAGCTGGAGCCACCCTGGGAGAGGCTGTGGGGAAGGTGAGTGGGGGCACGGGATCCGCCCTAAGCAACTCCCTCCCTCCACCCAGTTTCTCAGTTCCCATGGCCCCTCCCGGGCAGGGGCAGCCTTTCCCCAGAAACGCGCCAATCCCCCCCCCCCGCCCAGCTGGAGAAAGCGTTCAACCACAGCCATCGCCCTTGCGTCCACGGCCCCGGGGGGGGGGGGGGGAACAGAAGCCCATGAACCCCCAGTGAAGCCTTGCCGCATCCCCGACACAAGAAACTGGATCCTGAGGGAGAAAAAAAAAAAAAGCCGGCCCCACCCTGTCCACACTTGGATCTTGGACACCCCCTCCACCGCGAGAGTCCCTCCAGTGCCCCTCCCGATTCCAGGCCGTGGCTGAGGGCACGGCGTCCCAGGCGGACTGGTCGCCGACCAAGTCCGGGGCCACCAGCAACGGGCCACGAGGGGTAGCGTGAGCCCCCCCCCCCCCATGTCTACAGCGCCCACTCCGGCACTCACCGTCTTGGGCATGGTGGCGGCGGCAACGGCGGCGGGAGTTGGCGAAGTTTGGCTAGGAACTGTCGGGCAGCCCGGAACACTCAGTCCACACGATTCGGACTTGGTGTCGGGGACTCGGATTGGGTCCCTCTCTAGTGTCGGGGCGACTGCTCGGCTTCCTGCTAACGGGCCACGACTTCATAAACCCCACCCAGGAAAGAGCCGCCCCCGTCGCACCGCCCGCTCCTTTATGTGGCCCGGCTTCCGCGCGCCGCTCCCCGCCCTCGCGCCGCCTCCCCGCGGCCCCGCCGGCCTCGCCCCGCCGGCCTCGCCCCGCCCAGCCCGGCCACCCCGGCCACGTGGGGGGCCGAGCTGAGCCGGGCAGCCCAAGGGGGGGATTCCCATTCCTCATTCAGACCCACCCTGCTCCTCTCTCACTTCACTCAAAGACCCTAACCCCGCGCGTCGGGGCCATCGGCCCCGGCTCCGCCCCCATTAGGGGGCCAGACCTTGGGCCGCACCCTGGCAGTTGCTTACTGCAGTCCCTGACTACAACTTTTCCACTGATGGAGAGCTCACTACCAATCAAAGCTGCTTGTTCCCTCTCAAGGCAGCCTTAGAAAGTTATTGCTCTGGGTGTGACTTCCATCCTTGAAATTCAGCTCGGCTCCCTGTTGTCACAACTTATTACCCCCTTGGTATCCTTAAAAGATCCACATCTCTTATCCTGAATAAACTGTCTTAGCCCCTTCAACACTTCATCCAGCCTCTTCAATAGGACTCTTTCTGGATCATAGTTCATCTCCATCCTTGTTCACTGCCTATTTTCATCAGAATTGAGCCCCGTCCCTGTCTTTTGTTCATTTTCTTTCCTCCAGATCCTAGTCTGTACCTTCCTTAAATCACAGCCCTGATCCTTCAGTCTCTCCCCTAATACATTCACTTTTTAAGGAGGTGCCGATTCCCTCAGGTAGGATGTAGCCCCCTCAACCTCTGCACATACACACACTCCACTTTCTTCCAGTATGTCTGTCAGCTCCGTTTCTACTTCTTGTGAAGGTCACAGATTCCAAAAACTGAACTGTTCTAGGCTGTACTTGTAATCTGGCTAAACCCAAGTGAAAGCAACTATTCATCGTCCTGGTTTTTTTTCTTCTTCTTCTTCTTCTTTTTTTTTTTTTTTTCTGTTCTCCTTCAGCGACCATGCAGGGTCATGATCTGAGTGGTCTGAGCAGAACCATCCATATTTCAGGGATGGTGAGGCAGTTTGGAATAGCAGGACGGTTAAGAAGGGTACCAGGACACCTGGCTCTGTCCTGCCCTTAACCACCCTGACCACTGTTCCATCTTGGTAAGTCCCTTTCCCTCTCTGGCATAGAGTTTCCCCTTGTATGTCAAGAATGGTCTGGATTCCTGGGTTTTCAAGGTCCTTTCCTGCTCTGTTATTATGAAAGGATGAGAAAGAAAAGTAGCCTCCCAAGGGCAAGAGATAAGCCTAGCTAGGTTGCATAAGGATTCACCCCGGGTTAACACTTAGAAACCAAGAGTCCTTTCCCCTCCTCCTCTGCTTTCCCAGCCTAATGGGGGCCATGAAGCAACGTACCTCAGTTGCGCACTAGCAAAAACAAAGTTCCTAATCAAGATCATTTTCTTTTTTAAAAAAAAAAAAAAAAAGATTTATTTATTGGGCCCAGCGCGGTGGCGCAGTGGTTAAGGTCCTAGCTTTGCACACCCGGGATCCCATATGGACACCGGTTCTAATCCCGGCAGCCCCGCTTCCCATCCAGCTCCCTGCCTGTGGCTTGGGAAAGCAGTCGAGGACGGCCCAGGGCTTTGGGACCCTGCACCCGCGTGGGAGACCCGGAAAAGGTTCCTGGCTTCGGATCAGCATAGCATCGGCCGTTGCGCTCACTTGGGGAGTGAATCATCGGACGGAAGATCTTCCTTTCTGTCTCTCCTCTCTGCATATCTTTGTTTTTAAGATTTATTTATATATCTTTATTTTTAAGATTTATTTATTTATTGGAAAGTCAGATATACAGAGAGGAGGAGAGGCAGAGAGGAAGATCTTCCGTCGGATGATTCACTCCCCAAGGGAGCACAACGGCCGATGCTATGCCGACCCGAAGCCAGAATCCAGGAGCGTCTTCCGGGTCTCCCACACGGGTGCAGGCTCCCCAGGCTTTGGGCCATCCTCAACTACTTTCCCAGGCTACAAGCAGGGAGCTGGATGGGAAGTGGGGCCACCAGGATTCGAATCTGTGCCCATATGGGATCCCAGCACGTTCGAGGCAAGGACTTGAGCCGCTAGGCCATGCCGCCGGGCCCAAGATCATTTTCTTTAACTATTCGTTAAGATAAAGATCAGCGTTCTTAGGACAGCCCGGTCACCTTCAGCAGCTACTCCAAAGAAGAGCAACACTCATTAGAAAGCCTGAAAAGCCAGAGTTAGCAATAGCAATCAATCACATTTTTTGATACTATCATGGGCCTTTCTTACTCGGAAGTTTGATGTGTTCACTGATTCCTTCATTCACATTCACAAGAGCCCATAGAGGTCTGGACAGTATGCCTTAACAGAAAGAATCGAACCTGCCAACTTTCTGGAAAGTGGAAACCCCTTGTGTGTCATGCCTCATTTCTTATGCCAACTCTACCCCCCTTCAACACACACACACACACACACAAACACACACACACACACACACACACGCAAACACATACACAGAGCGGTGAGTGGACAGTGTCGGAAAAGGTAAAGGGATGCAAGCATCCAAGCAGGAATGGGAGGGGCTGTCAAAAGGTAAGAGAGCTAAGCCGTTCGGGGGGTAAGAGGATGTGAAAGAGAAGGGTGGGATTGGAGCCCTGCGAAGGAGAAGGTTGGGAAATGCAGAATACAGACTATCTGAGATGGGTAGTCTAGCCTTCACTCCAGGGGAACTGAAGAGCAGAAAGAAGAAAGGAAGGTATCTAAGGCCAGACAATCAGTGTAGAGAATGGGTTCAAGGGTCAACAGAGGAGACAATAGAACAAAGCTAACCAACTATTGCAATGATATAAACAAGGAATGTTAGAGACTAGAACCAGGGAGGCAACCAACCTCCCCACCCCACCCCCAACTTCACTGGACAGAAGCCAGTGGGCAGGGCTTAGAGACTGGCTGTGAGGGACTCCCACCTCCACGGAAGAGCTGAGGTGCTCTCTGGTTTTTCAAGATGACCAGGGAAACACCTCTTTGTTGCCTACTTCTGTGTAAACAACTTTGATATTTCTATGATCAGAACTTCTGTGCTCCTCCAACCTATCCCCACGGTGATGCCATGTGAATTAAAAATTAGAGCAGTTTTACTGGGCCAGATTAATTTCCACAACTATATTTAAATGTGGTGAGCTTTTATGCCAATGTTTATACAGAGAATACTTGGGGACTAAAGGTTAAACAGCTACACATATGTAACTACTCTGAAAGAGAAGTAAGAGGATTGAAGAAGCATATGTTTTTAAGTGAGTCGAATTCAGAAAGTTCAGGACACAGATATGTTTTTTTCCAAACAAGACTAACTTGGGGCCAGTAAGAATGAAGATGTTCTGGGCCTGGGACTGTAGCCTAGCGGTTAAAGTCTTCCCCTTGCACCGGGATCCCATATGGGCGCTGGTTCTAATCCCAGCAACCCTGCTTCCCATCCAGCTCCCTGCTTGGGGTCTGGGAAAGCAATCAAGGATGGCCCAAAGCCTTGGGACCCTGTACCATTGTGGGAGACCTGGAAGAGGCTCCTGGCTCCTGGCTTCGGATTGGCTCTCAGCTCCGGCAGTTGCAGCCGTTTGAGGAGTGAATCATTGGACAGAAGATCTTCCTCTGTCTCTTCTCCTCTATATATATCTAACTTTACAATAAAAATAAATAAATCTTTAAAAAAAAAAAAAAGAATGAAGATATTCTGGAACTGGTCTCCAAACCAGGTGATGGCATCTGAATTAGGTAGAAAGAGATGCAACCAGAGAAAAGTTGGCTTGGCATCTAGGACTAGAGTTGAGGTCCAGTTAGAAAGGTTCAGAATTCCTTGGGGGCGGGGATTGTTCTCGAGCTCTGGACATCAAAATCGAAGGAATGGAAAGCAAGACCTTCATAAGGATGATGATGTGAAAAGTGAATGCCAAGCTCAAGAAAGAACTTGAATTGGGCTTAAGCATATCTTCCCAAGTATTGTCCCCACTTTAGTTTTAAGCTTACTGCAACACAGAAGTTTCTGCTTTCTAAAAGGCGTTTTTCCTTCAGAGACTGAAGTGTGGTACAGGAGAGGCAGTAACAGAAAGGAGCTAGGTGGGGAACAGTCCTAAGTTCCAAGGCCAACTTGGGTAAGAGATTGTTTCCTTGATGCACTGGATAGCAGCTGTTAAAACTTTCACATCTCTTGGAATTATCTGAGGGTTATTTTCCATGTTTACCATTATTGGGAAAATTTCCCTCCCATCTAGATTAGACTTCTTCTGCCATCCTCGGCACATTTGCTCTTAGCTAGTCCTTGATGGAGGGATGAACTAAGCATCTGAATCTGCTGTTCTGGCCTATTCACAGAAATCTATCAGAGACAAAGACTGAGGCCACATGCTGAGATCTTTTCTCTCTCTTCCTTCCCCTTCATCCGTTGCCCAAACACTTGACGAATGCCCTTTGCACAAACCGTAGAATACATAGAAGAATATACATTGTCCTCGAAAAGAAACAGACCCCTGGGTGACAAAAAATGGCTGATATTACAAACGGTAACAGTAGGAAAATCACACTTTTGACTGTGATCAGTCTTCTGCCTACTTGTAAACAAAAGCTAGAATCTGGATTAAAGGATAGAGGATAATATTAATGAGGTGCACTTCACATGCTGAACCTTGGGAAGCACATTTCGGTTTCTAGCCTTGCAACCCTTGCAAGAATCTTTTGATTTAGGAATGAGGCTCTAGGACGGATCCAAAAGTCACATGACTTGTTGATGCTGAGACAGGGATCCCAGCCCAGACCATGTGAGTCCAAAGTTCGCCTTCTTTTCATCAGCCTGAACCTGTGACCTTCTCAGTCCCCAGCTGCGATCAGGCATACCAGAGGAAGGAGATGCATTTTAAGATTCCTATCACCCAGGCACCTTCACAGCCAGACAGCAGCTCAAGAGAGCAGGCAGGTAATAACAAACATCAGCGATAAGGCAT